GTTTATAGTAATATAGTTAAAACACAAGTCATTGAAAATGACACAGTCCCCGTAAAACTTTTGAAAGTTCTCTTTGTGCTCGTCATATTAAAGTGGAGGGGTTGTCGTGAGCATGTCCTTGAAACTTGAGTTCCAAGTGACGTATACAACAGATTGTTTATTTACATCAAAACATGTGTTCCGTGTAGTAGTAATATGGCCAAAAATAAAAACAGCCGTTATTCGGCCATCTTTGATCTGATTATGAAACACACTAATATGTATGATGTATGTGCCAAATACAAATGAAAATGGTACATAAATTGTGGAAATATAGTAGTAAGGCCAAAAAGTCAGATGGCTGTCAATCGGCCACCCTTGACCACATTTTGAAACAAATTGTCATGGACATGCATCCTAACATGTATAAAGTATATGTATGTGCCAAATTTGAATGAAAACTGACAGAGCACGTCCAAGATACCGCATAAAAAAAACAAAAAACAAGATGCCTGCCAGTCGACCATCTTTGATCCAATTACGAAATAAATCGTCATGGACATGTATCCTATCCCAACACGGACGGACGGACAGACTCAGGAACTCACGAACAGTCGGGAACATGTATCCTAACATGTATGATGTATGTACTAAATTTGAATGAAAACTGACAAAGCATGTCCAAAATACAACATTTTCAAAAAACAAGATGGCTGCTAGTCGGCCATCTTTGATCCAATTGTGAAATAAATCGTTATGGACATGTATCCTAACATGTATAATCTATGTACCAAGTTTGAATGAAAACTGACAAAGCATGTCCAAAATACAACATTTTCAAAAAACAAGATGGCTGCCAGTCAGCCATTTTGAATCGAATCGCTAAACCACTGCATGTGCATATGTCCCACATAAAGTATTAGGCACATGCAACGAATGAACGGAATCGAGATATGACTCCGAACGGACGCACAGACGGAGACCGAATTATAAGTCCCTGTTTTTGGACTTCGTCCGAACGGGGACTAAAAATTAAATGACGTGCATCAGGGACCTATAATGTCTCGTGTATATACCAAGTTTAAACAAAATCCATTCATAAATGCTTGATTTTGATGATTTTTCAGCACAAAAATGGTTGCCATTCGGCCATTGTAAATCCAATCTGAAAAAAAATGATGTGCATCAAGGTCCCATAATGTCCAACGTATGCACCAAGTTTGAACAAAATCTATCCATAAATGCTTGATTTTAATGATTTTTCCGGCACAAAAATGGCCGTCATTCAGTCATCTTGAATCAGATCGCGAAACAAATTGATGTGCATATGTATAATATTATGTATGATGTACAATGTATGTGTGAAGTTTGATATAGGTATCTATAAGTATCTATAATCCATAAGTCCCCTTTTTCGGACTGAGTTCAAACTGGGACTAAAAAAACAAACTGTATTATTTATTCTAGTAGGCCATTCCATTCATTTATCTTGCAATAATGTCTGTAGTTTGGGCCGAAGCCAGTCTCTCTCTATCACCATAGATAGAAAAATTATGGAGCAAAGGTAAACTCAGTTATATATTTTTGTGAACATGTCAAAGGATAGTGTGTCTGATTTCTGTGCTAGGTGAAGGGTTACTATTAATAATGGACAAAGACCACCTACATGTATAGACTTGATAAATATAGATATGTGTTTTTTATAACACAACATAGTTTCTTTGTGTGGAATAGATGTAATTGAAGTTTTTATAGTATATTTCTTTTCAGCTGATGTTGATTTCATCGTACAAAGTGCAGGATCTGCTGCATTATGAGAGTTTTAACACAAAGACGGAAACTGAAACTATCACCTGTGGCATCTAAGATGGTGCTATATTAGTACAGACATAAAACAGAAACCCAGGTAGCATGCTTACTGTTAAGAAGTTATTTCTCTTCTCAGCAGCTTCTTCAATATTCTGCATGACAGGGTTAAGAGAAGGGTTAGCACCAGCCGCCCATTTCAGTCTCTGTGACACACTACTCTCCAATGCCGTGTATTTCTCAATAACTCCAGTCAGTGTGGTCTCTAATGATGTCAACCTTTGAACACGTTTACGCAGGTCTGACATTACACTGGATCTGGTTGGTGTGATAATGGGACTGGTATGATGACCACTCTGCAATAGCACATCTTCATATAACCATTGATATCTGGCCAACTGTAGCTGGGCTCTCTGTACACTGGACTGCATGGTGGCTATCTTGATATCCAGACGCCTGTCAAACAAATAATAAACAAGACATGAATGTCACATTCCTCGTCATTTGATTATAAAATACTCAAGCTAAAAAAATACATCTGCAAACAGGTGAATTAATATTTACTCTATGTGGGTACAATTCATCATAAAGAGATTTCCCATAATCTAGTATTATACTGATAACTGAAAACTTCCATTGACCCATGTCCAAAATCTCCCAGTACACAAGTGCAACCAAACTGTCTCATACATGTATACATACTCAAGAAACTGCATTCATTTGTATTGTATATTACCAGGGCCTGCGTTTGTTTCAGTATCACTGCTATGCAACAGAATCATTCTCACATTATAAAAATACCATTTTTAGTAATTCAGTATGATTTATTATTTAAAATGTATTCACTACAGTAACATCTGTTAATAAACTGTTGTAAACAAGCAGCCTATCGGCTGAGATAGCTCCGCTGTTAGCAATGCACATTTCAATTAAAGAACTGAAGATATCATTAGAAAATGAACAATATGTATAGTATCAAAGCAATCGGACTTACAGTTTTTAACAAGAAGTCGAAAATAACACTTTCTACCAAAAATGACAAAAATATTCACCAAAATTAGAGAATTTAAGATATCACCACAAAATGAACAAATCTGAGAGAGGTCCACATGTAGTACCTATATATGTAATATCAAAGCAATCGGACTTACAGTTTTTAACAAGAAGTCGAAAATATCACGTTTTAACAAAAATGACAAAAATATTCACCAAAATTAAAGAATTGAAGATATCATCACGAAATGGACAAATCTGAGAAAAGTCTACATGTAGTATCTATATACGTAATATCAAAGCAATTGAACTATTGGTTTTTAAGAAGAAGTCGAAAATATCACTTTTTACCAAAAATTACAAAAATATTCACCAAAATTAGAGAATTGAAGATATCAACATGAAATGAACAAACCTAAGAGAGGTCTACCCAAGGTACATATACACCAAGTATCAAAGCATTCAGGCTTGTAGTTTTCAAGAAGAAGTCGAAAAAGTAAAACATTGACACGGACGACGACGACGGACAATCACTCATATGATAAGCTCCGCTCGACAAAGTCGACAGCGGAGCT